TGGTTATTCCTTTCTCTCCCCCTCCAGTGTCTGTTTTATAATGTATTGCAAGGAAAACCAAGGTTCAAAAAATAGCCAAGCATCTTAACATTATTCCCCCCTTTCCCCATTCCATCCATGTCTCAGTCTCTGTATTCCAGAGCCCTGTTGTTCTAAAGCTGTGCTTACATCATTTTTTACCTCTGTCCCATTTAGCCCATTTATACCCGTCTATTTGTTCTCTCATCTGCTTTGTTCTTCGATTCCCCTCTCCCTTCTTGTATATTGCCCTCCTACCCAATACCCAAATTATCTTGTGTCTATTCCCTGCCCTGTACTCCACCTTCCCCTCCCACCCCTATCCCTGCCCCTACATCCTAACAACCCCCTAAGAGTCCACTTTAGTGGATTAGTATGGGTTCTTTTTCCTAGTCTTTTACATTAGTGGTCCTATGCAGTATTTTTATACCATACTTTTTAGTTTCTGTAGCATTATAGTTTTTTTAGAGCTGGTTGTGGTAAAAATTCCTCATTAAGCATTATTATTTTGAAAAATTTTTTTGCTATCTTTTATCCATTTTCCAAGACAAAACTCATAATCAGATTATCTTAGAGAAATGCACTACTCTAAAAAACTATGGAAACTAAGAGATTTAAATTGTTTTTCTTTGTAGAAAGGTATTACACAGACTAACAATAACAATCAAAAACCATTTGAAAAAACAGTCTATTTGACTTGATTTTTAAACTGTATTAATTAATGAAGTAATAAATCATTTCAAAATAGAAAAGAAAAAGAAAAAAACCCTACATAAATCTAGTTATCTCAGAATGAAAACAAAATAAAACAAAAACAAACAAGCCTAACAACATGGTTGAAGTTACATGTCAACTTGATTAGGACATGGTGCTCAATGATTTGGCAGACACCATGTAATCACCTGAGGTGAATAGCCAGCAGTTGGAAAAGAAGTTCCCGTGGGAGTGTGTGGCCTGCATCCAATATATAAATGGATGTTCTGATACAGCGCATTGTCTCTCTTAAACGGTACTGCCTTTATCTTATTGTCTATGTCTGAGCTCCGGTTCTTAGGATGTTGGATTTGCCAGTTCATGCAACTCAGTGAGCCAGCAGCATAACATCAGACTTACAGATTTTAGGTTAGCCAGGCTCTGCAAGTATGTGAGTCAGGAGAAGGTAGCCTCCACAACCATGTGAGTCATATCATAGAAATGACTCTCTATAAATATTTATATATATGCTTCACTGGTTTTGCACTAAATAACCAGGACTAACACAAATGCCATGGCAAACAAACCAACAAAACAAAACAAAAATTTGTGGGTGAAGTTATAGCTGTGGGTGAAGTTAAAGGTATAGCTTTAATTCTCTATCAGAAAAAAAATGAAGTCTAATATTTATGATCTAGGTTCCATATTGTACTATACAAAGAGTGAAACAAACTCAAAGTTGGTAGAAGGGAGGAAAAAAAAATAAAGATATACACAGAAATCAACAGATAACAAAGAGTCAATACAGTAAATAGTTTTTTCTTTAAAAGGATCAACCAAATTAATAAATCCCTAACTGGACTGCTCAGGAAAATAAAGGAATTATCAGTATCCAAAATAAAAATGAAGATATCACTATAGATCTCACAGATGTTAAGGTAATATAGGAATATTAAGAAGATTATGCTAATATACTTGACAATTTATACGAAAACGATAATTCCTTCATAAATACAATGATAAGCACCGGACAATTAAGCACGAGGTCAGCTGTTCAAACCCATCAGCTATTACTCAGAAATTCCTCGGTGACTATGAGTCTGAACTGATTTGACAGCACTTAACAACAACAACAACAACAACAACAACAGACTGGCCAAGATGAAACAGAAAATGTACAGAGTGCTCTAGCTACTGATGAGTCTGAATTCATTACTAAAAATTTTCCCAAAAACATAAGACCCTAGGACCATCAAGGAAGAAGAGCACAAGTGGAATGCGGGACCCTATCCAGGGAAGCAGCGACACCAGAGATGGAGGCAGATGGGCACATGGAGACAGGGAGCAGCTGAGGACTCTAGATTCATGGAATGAGGGACTGAGAACTGACAGCCAGGAGGCAGACTTGCAGAATGTGCTCTTTGGTGGTATAAATTATTATATATGCCTGAGTGTTAGAAAAAAAAAAAAAAGAGCTAAAATGAATATAGAGAAATACTGTTAACTGGTGGTACATGGAAGGGATTATCATCATTAAAATACACAAAGTATATAATTTGTTGAATGTAAAACTGATGAACTCTGTAAACTTTCCCTCAATTCACAATAAAAAATGTAAAAAAAAACAATTTTCCCACAAAGAATGGTTTTTCCTATGAATGGTTTCAATGAGGAATTCTATCAAACATCTGAGGAGGATATACTTATACTACACAAAGCTCTTTTAGGAAATCTAGGAGGAAATACTCCCCAACTCACTGATATGGTCAGTTCAAATCTAAAAGCACAATCTGACAAAAACTTAGAAGTATGAATCAATATTCCTCGTAAACACATAAGCAATATTCCACCTAAGTATTAATAAGTTTAGCAATTTATAAAGAAGACAATACATTCTGACCAAGTAGGGTTTATCACAAGATTGCATGGTTGGTTTAACATTTGACATTCAAACCATCTAATGCAAGATATTGACAGAATAAAGGAGAAAAAGCCCAACTTGGCTCTATTCAGTAGAGGCAATGCTAATTGTGCTTAGGTAATACTCACTTTAAGTTTTCTAATTCCTGCTTTCTCAATGGAGAAGAAGGTGGAGCTGGAATACATTTATCTCCATCATGGCTTTTACTGCTGGAATAAATAACAGACTCTTAGTTATAAAGATAAATACATACAAAAGTAAATGTACAATTTTATCTCCTTATATATTGGTAGCATAGTGGGTCATGAGTTAGGCTGCTAAATGCAGCAAGGTCAGCAGTTCAAATCTACCAGCCACTGCCTGGGACAATGATGTGGCTTTCTGCTGTTGTAAAGATTTATAGCCTTGGAAACCCATATAGGGTCTCTATGAGTTGAAACCGACTCCATAGCACCCAACTACCACTACCACCACCATATCTGCTCCCACGTAATTTGTAATGACAAAAGTGTACAAGAGTCAAAATAATGAAAATATTCAATATCTTCGTATTACTAGCATGTAAAAACTCTACTGTATGTTGGCTTCTTTTACCCAGTAATTAAATTTGCTTATAAAAGAATATCTTAATTATTTGAAGGAGACCGCCCTGTATTTTAAAATATTTCTCCTTCTTATTTTATCACTTATAGCAAAAACATTAACTTTGTGATCACAATTTTGTTCTGCATTTTCTACAGTAAATGTGTATTTCTTTTGTAATCAATATTTAAGATTTAATTTGAAGGTGTCACATGTAAAAAAGTAGAATTTCCAATCTATAGACTGTTTATTTTGTTACTTAGTAAACTTTCCTATGTTCTACAGAATGGCATCATTTAAAAATTGCATTAGAAAGTTCAAAACAAATATCTCAATCAATGGTATGTTAGGAGAAAAGGCAAAGAATAATGAGAAATTTCAGGATTTATTTCAATATTTATAAAAAACTATCTTCTTTGACAGCAACAAGAAAAAGTACTTGCTGTTGAGCAGATTATAAGTCAAGGCAACCCTATCTGTGTCAGAGCAGAACTGTTCTCCACAGGATTTTCAATGGCTGATTTCAGAAGCAGATCACCAGGTTTTTCTTCTGAGTTCTGAGGCATCTTGGGGTACATCTGAATCTCTAACATGTTCAGGACTCCACTAACAATACAACTCCTTGTAAATACTACTCTTCCCCACAAACCCCATTATTTTCCACTTTTATCCTTAAAAGTTTTTTCCTCATTTAGCCTTCATTAATTTTTGTCTTCCTGAAATACTTAAGGACTTTCTTCTCATCAAAGCAGAGAATTTTTTTGAAATTCTGGCTGAAGCTTTTAAAACTAACTAAAGGACAAATTAAGTTTGATAGCTAATTCCTAAAAGGATTTTAATAAGGGAGGTCAAAAGGATTAGAATACCTGCAAGTTTCATTACTGTCACTGTTTTCTGAGTTCCCGCCTAATTGATTACTATTTTTAGACCCATTTTCCTGCTTTGGGTCTTGCTGTTCTTCAGGTAACAGCAACAAGGCATTTCTGAGACATATGGCTGCAAACTCCATACTGGCTACAGGAATGGCTGAAGACTGCCCATCACTTAAAAGAACAAGGAAAAAAAATTAAATTAGCCAAGTATAATGATATAACAATATGGCTTTTCTATTATCAAAAATAAAAGCCATATAATTATAAATAAAAATTTCCCTTTGACAGGTAAAAATTTTAATACAAACAGTTTAAAGGAGATTTCTAAAGAACCCTAATCCTAAATACAATTTAACAGTCTCTGAATGTTATAATGGATTGAAAATAAACAAATTATATATATTGTGCCTACAGGAACAGGATAAATGACAGGGGACAACTTGAAGTATATCTGCAGTGTCAACGTTAGTGTAAAAGGAACTGGTGTTAAGTGTCATCGAGTTGTTCTGATTCACAGTGACTCTGTATAGGGTTTCTAAGGAGCAGCTGGTGGGTTTGAACCACCAACTTAGCGGTGAGCAGTCCAGTGCTTATCCTAGCACCACGCCAGGACTCTAAAAAGTAACTGCAGACAAGGAAGACTAATGAGAGTCACACAGGTATGATAAGAAAGGGGAGAAAACACATTTTCACAGTTGATTCTTATTTTCAAAAAAAGCTTTTTTAAGTTCTGTAACAGCAATATTATCTTTTCTCATTATTTCACTGACTTTTTATATTACTTTCTATTGGCTTAATATATCAATCTGAGCAGGAAAAAAAATTCGGTTTTGAAAAGTATTAACAACTTTGAAATTGTAGGAAAACTATGCCTTATTTTATTAGTCTTACATTATTGTTAAGCAAATTAAAAGCAAAATATCTGTCAGATACTATTGAACTGTGGAAAAATGTAAATGACAGAGGCCAATTGTTTTTCTTGAAAAAGAAAAAAAAAAAAAAAAAGCAGTGAATTTTTTGTACTGTCCTACTTGAAAACCAACAACAACTCAAATTGGACAAAGATGTTCATAGTAAAGTTGTTCATCTGAACAATGCACACATTGACAACTTTGGTAATATTCTGGTTGGTTTATCTATAAGTACCTTTCCCCCATAATTACTTTAATACATTTTCATTCCTAGGGATTATGAGAAAATACCTAAATGAAAAGTTTTAATGATAATGAAAAGTATATTAAATATTAAAAAGAAACACCAAGATGCCCTCTTCTGGACATTTTGAATAATGGCACGGAATACACTAAACAATGCACAAAAAAACAAGTCACATGCCAGACAGCACTCACTAATAAACCTATATGTTCGGATCTATTTGCTGAAGTAGCAATAAAACCTAGTTATCAAATAGTACTCTCATGACATGACATACCCAAGTATATGAAGATCAACAAGGATTATTTAAAATAGGATTAAACATATACATAACTTCTCTCAGCAAAATACTTACTTATATACGGTATTCTGTATGGACTGTGAAACCAGAACTATTTTACGATGATAGCCTTGGCCAACAATAGACTGTACAATTCCTTTTTTGCTTGGAAGACCTTTAGTTTCTTGTTCAGAAGTCTACAAATTACAAATAATCTCCAGTAAATTTAAGGGAACTGCAAGATGGGGTATAAAAAAGGATGGATGATTTTTTTCAAACTTACTCTAAATTTAACAAAGTTCTTAAGATCTATTAACAAGAAGGAAATATGAGGGGCTTCAAAAAATTCTATTATTTAATTCCATTTGTCCATGAACTTTTTTGAAGCCCCCTTGTACGTTTGGCATCTAGAGAAATGAGACTTAAGACAATTTTAAGGGAAAAAACCAATATAATAATTACTCAAACCTTTATTTAGAGCATTTTACACTTCCAGGCCCCCTGATGTACACTATAAACCTTTGAAATCTGAGTAAGGAAAATAAGAGAGCCACAAACACACAGTGTAAAAGAAAAGGAAAATTGCTCCTCTTCCTAAAACAGTTTCTTCTTCTAATTGAAAGCATTAGTTAAATTGTAGATAATATAAGCTCTAACAAGCTATATGTGACAAGAACTACACAAACATAGGTCTTGCCACTTGGAAATTTAGAATGTGGCGCTTTGGGTTAATGCGCCAGACTACAAAGCCGTTTGAATGCAAGGTCAGAGGTTTAAACTCAACAGCAGTTCCTTGGAAACCCTATGCAGGTTTGTTAGGGTTGGAATCGACTTGATTGCATTCAACAACAACAATCATTGAAAGTAGTGAGCGCGCGCGCGCACACACACACGAAGAAAAGTAAAAAATATCAAAATGTGACATTATTTACTGACATATCCTTTATTTACGTCTGCACCTTCTAAGGGTGATGTGTTTCCATCTCTCCAACCATTCGGTAAGAATTTTTTTGCCCTTTGACCTACAGGATATCAAAATAATAGTTTTGACATCCTCCAGGGACTCAAATCCACTGGACCGCACTTCACAACAATAACAGGGACTAAAATAGATTTTATTTTCAACATTCTATCAAATTTTTTTTAAAAGTTTTTATTTTGGATTGAGTGAAAGTTTACAGGGCAGATCATCAGTTTTACATTCAACAAATAATACACCTTGTTTCATTACAATCATCATAATCCCCTCCATGTACCTCAGTTAACAGTATTTCTCTGTATCCACGTTAGCTTTTTTTATTTTTAACTTTTTAGTACCTTTATTTTTATTTAAAGGTTTTTACTGTGAATTGAGTGAAAGTTTACAGGGCAGATCATCAGTTTTACACTCAACAAAATATTACACCTTGTTTCATTACAATGATTATAATCCCCTCCACGAACCATCAGTTAACAGTATTTCTCTCTATTCACTTTAGCTTTTTTTAAAAAAAACCAAAAACCACTTAGGCATATATAAATAATTTACACCTCCACAGGGCACATTCTGCATGTCTGTCTCCTGGCCACCAGCTCTCAGTCCTTCTATTCCCATGAATCTAGAGTCCTCAGCCACTCCCCCTCTCCATGTCATGATCTCTGCCTCCATCTCTGGCCTCACTACTTCTCTAGATAGGGTTCCGCATTCTGCTTGTGCTCTTCTCCGTTAATGGTCCTAGGGTCCTCTGTTTCTGGACTGTAAGATTAACCACTCCCGTTTTTGTTACTTTTAACTTCAACTTTTGCAATTGTGACAGTCACAGTTTGTCATGATAACAATTATTCACTATTGAATCATAAGAATCTTATCCCCATTTCTTTTTGCCAGACCCATCTAGACAAGATGAAAACTAT